TCCAAGGCATACCTGGGTAACTGCAAACATATTAAAGTTTTGCTAATTATTGGGAACAGATAAAGTCTCAGTGGTGAACTATATTGTACTAACTGTAGGTACCATGATGTCCCTACAGATATTGAGGTAATCCAAAAGTGTCTTATAAATGAATATGAATACATGCATATGATATAGATTAGCACCACATTTAAACATTAAAGCAGATTGACCTTAACGTTTTTGTTTTTGATTTTTGACTTAAACTTTGATGGACACATATATTTTAAAGAGCAGCAACAGCTTAAAAAAAATTAAAGTCAATAAAAGTAAGTTCTTTCAATAATTTCATGATTACAAATCTCTGTAAAAATTATGTACCATTGTACCAGAGAGCACTTAACCTTTATACCCTTTATACTACCATTATAAACCTTCATTGTTGATACATATAACAATATATTATCAAAAATATTACAATGTAAATAAATCTTTAAAGGCCCATCATGCCCAGAAATGATTGATGCTTTTTTTAAAGCTTTTTTATTTTGGTACCATTTTACAGTCAATGAATTTAAGATTTTAAATTTACTAGCCCGAATTTCAATTTTGAATTTATTCTACTATATCCCTTAGGAAAAGGAAAGGCATTTAACTTGCAGTTATTTAGCATTGTTTTTCTGACCAGTTTTAACCATTTATTAAGCAGTTTTCCTTGACAAATGTGATTATGTAGAAAGCATTTAAAATGCAGTTAAAATGCATTTAAAATGCAGTTATTTAGCATTGAAAAAGCATTGAAATCAGCCGAAATATGTAAATGAGATGACATCATAAAACTGCCTCCAAATATGGAGATAGCATTTCCAACCATTTATATGACCTCATAAATAACTGCCAAAAAATTGTGTTTGCATTTTCAACCATTTATATGACATCATTAAAAAACTTTCAAAAAACTACTGAAGCCTTTATATGACCTCATAAATAACTGCAAAAAAACTTTCAAAAAACTGTTGCATTTATTTGAGCTAATATAATACTGTTAACAACTGTTCACATCTGAAAATAAATGTTTACAATGTAAACTATGCCAATATGTAAAGTATTAGAGAAAAATATTTATCATTCATGATTTTGTAGTTTTACCGGTAATCAAGTTTTAGTTTTATTCTATATAAAACGTTAAAACAGGTCAAAGTAGATAATTGTGTTTCTTGAATAAACTGATGCAATTTTTTTTAGAAATTACTATGCATTGTAGGAGCATGGTCTATATCTATTTGCATATAAATTTATGTGTAGATATAATTTTAACTTTGTAACTTTATTGTTATGTCTCAAACAAATTTTGTCATAACCATACATTGATACAATTCTAATGATATTGTGATGCTCAGGCTATTTTATCAATGTTTTATTACTTTTATTTATTTTCCGACTTTGAGTACGAATATTTCTGAGTACGAACCATCGCATTGTTTTGATGATTACTTTCTATGTAACTGCTTTTATCTCACATTATTATGATTTTCAGATGCCATTTGTATATATTAATGTTTATTATCTATTCTTAAATGCTGACATACGTTTATTTTCATGTAATCTTGCTTAATATTTTGTCACATTTCTGAATTTGCCACTGGTCGGCCATTTTGAATATTAATGTGATGACGTCACAGGGTACTATAAATACTGCGCGTTAGCATATCGTTGTCATCTCATATCAGGTCGTCTGGTAGAAAAGTACTCTATTGAGTAGATAATTGTAGACGATTAAATAACAGAAAATGGATCGGATACAGGTGAAATTCACTTGTTGTTATTGTTAAACAGTTATAATTACTTTGCCAGTGTAGAGAACGGTTGTTCCAGAAATGGTTCATACCAAATCTGGTATAATACCCAATCCGGTATAGTACCCAATCTGGTAACTACCAGATCTGGTATCTCATTATATTGTACCAAACCTGGTACTTGTTTACTGAAATCTGGTCATCTATAGGAATAATAATAATAGACTTTAGGCATCCATGACTATGTATATTTAAATAAATTCATCTATATAATATTTTATTATTTTTAATTAAAAGAGTTTTAAGTTACAAATTGTCTTATGTGTTCATTTATAATTTGGTACTTGGGCCGTGTAAAACGAACCCTGGGTTAATGTGAGGCTGCATGCAGACTGCCCTGGAAACACTAAGCAGGGGTCTGGGCACCACAATATTGTTTTTTCCATAGCTGTCCGTCTGTTGGTCCATCCGTCCTCATTTGGATTGTCAAACAACTGTTGGGATTTTGATCAATCTTCACTGGATTGATCAGTACCAAACCTAGTTGTGCATATCCCTAGCACTTTCTGTTTTGATGCACAAAATGGCCACCATAGCTAAAAAATAGAAAAAGCTTTGTGCAGCTTCACAGATCAAACTGCTAGTAAGATTTACACCAAACCCTGGTTATGCATATCTCTGTCACATTCCCTTTTGCTGCACAAAATGGCTTCCAGAGCTCAAAATAGAAAAACCTTGTTTGACTCGTATGTCTAGCTGCTGGTGGGATTTTGACCACAATTCGCAGGAGTGATCAGTCCCAACCCTTTGGTCTTTCTGCACGCAAGCATACTCTTCAAGTACAATGTAGACCTAAGCTTGTTATCAAGTTAGGATATTGCTGAATTAAGAAACAATCTTACAATTAATGATTATTATTAGACCACTTTGTTTAAGTAAATGTCTAAATATAATTAGAAATGACAGTGGATTAGTCTGATAACATGGTATGATATTAGTTATGTGATGTACCTTACATGTACATGTACTTTTGATGTACTTTTGATAGTTATAATATGCTTATTATATATACAAGTTGTACACATACAATATTGCTATGATGCACTACAAGGTATTAAGTGAATATTAGTGTGCATGAATTATATTTTCCTAAAAGCATTTAAATAAAACTTGTAAAAACTGCAGCTTCTGTCACAATCTTTTAGCTTAAAAAAATGGTTCAAGAAAATAACTTGTAAAAAATGGTAATGTAAGTATTGTTTAACATCACCATTTATTTTTAAATGTTGAAAAACTGGTAAAAAATGCTGGACACAAGTTTTTTAACAACAAGTTTTTACCAGTTTTTTAAGAACTGCTGTTTAAATGGAATCCTACAAATTAAGATGAAGGGCAAAAAATTGTAAAAAAGGCATTTATTTGAAAAAACTGCTAAATAACTGCAATATAACTACAAGTTAAATGCCTTTCCTTTTCCTAAGGGATATATTTTACTAAATTTTCTTAAAATTTTCACTAACCCGAACTAATTTTCACTGGGCCAATGCTTAATTCGATGACTGCTTTTATACTGTATAAATTCCAGAAAGCTTAATTACTAGTCACACAGGCCAATTTATACCTGAACAAATTTTTGCTTCTGTGGCTGTTTGGCAATTGAATACTAGAGATATTAAGATTCTACTTTGTTAACTTTTTGCTACTTTTATGCCAAAAATACTGACTAGAACCATTAATTAAATGTTATTAAACTCATATGTGCCCTTTCTAAAGAAGAATAGATAATTTGTTTCTGAGGAATAATTTTTAAAAAAAAGATGGGAAATAGTTATTATTTTATTTTCATTAGTTATTTTACCCATTTAACTTAACAAGCATAATCTCTAGTTACAAAACTATATATGGAATAAACACATATAACCGTGTTTGTAAACTGAATCATATAAATCATTGATGTCCCACATACTAGTGTTGTCTATCATACTCTCATACTGCATGTGATAATATGTAAAGTATATTGACATGACTTTGTTTAGTTAGAGACATTGTCCTTATATGAAGCTAGATAAATCAGCTGTTTACTAACATACACCAATTTAAGAAGACAAGTAGTGTGTAAATAATATGATAAACTTTGTAATTGGGTTCAAGGCTTACTCTGATATGTAACATCTATGTTTTAAACTTTGTTCACCATCTTGCTGTTTTTTTGCAGTCATTCACATGTTTTTGTAACTGGACAGAAATAATCCTATGCTTTTATATAAGCAGACTCAAACCCATGCTTTTATAAATATAAGCAGACTCAATCCCATAATATTATATCAAATATGCATTTATAGAAAGACAAAATCTTATGTTTTCATAAGTAGACATATTGACATGCTGTTATAAGCAGCTTGTTCTCATATTAAACAGACTCTTTCTCATGCTGTTATAAGTAGACTCAAAATATATACATAGTTTAGGGGGGTATATATAGGAGTCAGCTAAAATGTCGGTCCGTCCACTTCATGGTTTTCGAATGATAACTTGAGTTTTGAATGAGTTATTGTAATCAAACTTTATATATAGCAACCATATGTAAAAAACCCAGGTTGGGATTGCTTTAGAACCCCCTGGGTTCAAGGTTAAGGTTACTGTTACTAAAAATGAAAAAATGGTCTCCAGATAATAACTTAAGTTACAAGTGAGATAATGTAATCAAACTTGATATATAGCAAGCTAAAAATATATGAAGATCCAGGTTGGTAGTGCTTTTGGACTCCCTGGCTTCAAGGTCAAGTTAACTGTTGTAAAAAAATAGAAAAATGGTTTCCGGACAATAACTTGAATTAGGAATGAGATATTCTAATCAAACTTGGTATATAGCAAGCTATAATTATGAAGACCCAGGTTGCAATTGCACAGGTTTGGCTTGCCTTTAGACCCCTAGATTTAAGGTTAAGGTCACTGTTACTAAAAATAGAAAGATAGTTTATTACTTTTTTTTACAAAGATAATGGTTTAAACAGATGATTATACTCTTTTATTTTTATATTTATTGGTACATATATGAAACATTATAAAATATATTAGGTAGGTTTTCAAAAGGTTTTAAGACTGGTTTCATACATGTATGAATCACCTTTTATGATAGCTCTAGTTTCATGCTGTTAATGTAAATAGACTCATCTCATGCTGTTGTAAGCAGACTCTAGTTTTAAGTTTCTCTTTATTTTTCAGGTTGAACAAATAAAAAGAGAAAACAAATTATGGACAAATGACAGCTTGTTTTTACGTGAGCACTTATACATTCCTGTTACCAGTGAAAACAGTTATATGGTACAAGACGACTGGGAACTACTTTCTTCAGATGAAGTGAGGTCAAGGTCAAACAGTGATTTTTCTACCTCAGATGATCAGTGTAGTTCAGGTGCTTGTAATGATGTAAGTCAGGGTGCCAAAAGAGACACAAGTAGTGCTAATGACACTAAAGTTTCAAATGGAAGCGAAAGTTCTGGAATGGACTTCTTTAGCAAATATGATTCAAGTTTTGCAAATTTGAAAAGTAAAGTGGAAAATTTAGAAAAATCTTCAAGGTAAGACCTTTTATATAAGACAGACATGTTACTGTATAGACAGAGAAAAACTAACGATTGTGGTGCAAGATTAACGTTTCAAATCTAACAATGCTCAGTCATAAAGGCTCAGATTCCATATCAACTATACTATTTGTAGATTCAGATTTCTTCATACCTTAGTTAGAAGTTCAAATGTCATAATTTGGAGAGTTGCAGATTTAGATTCCTTCATAAAGTTTGGGGGTTCAAATTCTGCTTCAAATGTCACAGTATACTAAAGCAGCTTCTAGGGCACAGTCATGCTTGTATTAGTTTTGTTTCTTTTAATTGAAAGTCTCATTTAGCATGGATGAATACTGAGCGTTATAGTTTTATTTAATTTCTGGTTGTTGTTTTAGCATTGTTATATAGCATCTTAACTTAAATAAACACCACAATATGGAATGATACCACATCCTGATATCCCCAACTTTGTTCCTGATATTTATATATTAGCATGAACAATTTGTTATAAATTATAAGATTGGGTTTTGAATTGTCTAAATGATAACTAGTTACCCGCCTCTCATTGCCTTGCATTCTTGTCACAGATGGGGCACTTTGCATGAATGACATGTTTAGGGAAAGCTAAATTTTTTAAAGAATTAACTAAGTTAAAGTTTAATCACACTTACCACAGGTCAACATTATTACATATATATTTTACATGCATTAAATTAACAGAGGATATTGAATGAGTATAGGTTCAATACTAAATTTATTGAAGGAGTTGAATAACAGCATATTATGGGAGCCTCAGACAAGTATAGTATTGTTTTATTCAACCTTAGTTCAATAAATTTAGCTTTGAATCTAAATGAACATAATATTCTATTTATCACATATTCAAAATAAGAACGATTTACAGTTAAAAAGAGTCATTTTTCATTGGTGTGCCTATAATGTAATTCTAACATTAGCAAGCTTTAATGTTATGTTTGTATGTAAGATCAAAGTGTCGTTATATTAGTGTAATATCATTTTTATTAAATGACTTTATTGCACTACTGTACTGCAGTTCATGTGATAAGTTCCTTTAAAAATGGAAGTGTTATTTAAAATCACGTTGAAATTCCCATCAGATAATAATTTTTTTGGCAGTGATAAAAGTTTTAAAACTGCTGCAGGCTTGGCATAACCCCATACATAACTGTTAGCTAGCTTGGGGTAACAGATTCTACCCATACAATCAGGACAGAGCAAGGTCAGCCAGTGCTTTCATACCATCTGATCATGGTCTGCACACCTTGATATTCAATGATAATTGATTCTGTCCATATTTTGAAAAAATTCCTAAAAATGATGAATTGCATTGTCAAGAATTGAAAAGTGGACATGTCCATTTAAGATATTTAACATAGTATAATAGACAAGTGCATTTAAGATATTTATGAATTGTGGTATGCTTATGAAACACAAATCAACTGCATTTATACTTAAATTAAAACAGAAACATGTATGTTATAATGTTGAAGAAAAGGCTTTGTGACCCCATGCTGGTACATTTGTAGCACAGTCAAATTTTCTTTCATAAATAAATGTTTAATTGTTTATATGTATACAATATATCTGTCAATTTTGAGAATTTTGTGTTATTTTATGTAATCTTTTTTTCCCCATTTGTCTGTTTTAGTTCACCTATTGCATAATTAAGGTGAGCTATATGTGTTATTCTACTTTCTGATAATACATTTTATTTGTGTACTTTTTTCATTTTAACAACTGGATGTAGAGAAATCTTATAAAGGCTTTAATTCTTAAACTTTGCTTTATGTCTTGTTTAACTGTCTCAAACATTAACCTGCACGGATTGATGGAGTAACCTTTACCACCAGTATAGACTGTAAGGCCAGGCCTGATCCTCAATTACCACCAGTATAGACTGTCAGGCCAGGCCTGATCCTCAATTACCGCCAGTATAGACTGTCAGGCCAGGCCTGATCCTCAATTATCACCAGTATAGACTGTCAGGCCAGGCCTGATCCTCAATTACCACCAGTATAGACTGTCAGGCCAGGCCTGATCCTCAATTACCACCAGTATAAACTGTAAGGCCAGGCCTGATCCTCAATTACCACCAGTATAGACTGTAAGGCCAGACCTGATCCTCAATTACCACCAGTATAGACTGTAAGGCCAGGCCTGATCCTCAATTACCACCAGTATAGACTGTAAGGCCAGGCCTGATCCTCAATTACCACCAGTATAGACTGTCAGGCCAGGCCTGATCCTCAATTACCGCCAGTATAGACTGTAAGGCCAGGCCTGATCCTCAATTACCACCAGTATAAACTGTAAGGCCAGGCCTGATCCTCAATTACCACCAGTATAGACTGTCAGGCCAGGCCTGATCCTCAATTACCGCCAGTATCAACTGTCAGGCGAGGCCTGATCCTCAATTACCACCAGTATAGACTGTAAGGCCAGGCCTGATCCTCAATTACCACCAGTATAGACTGTCAGGCCAGGCCTGATCCTCAATTACTGCCAGTATAGACTGTCAGGCCAGGCCTGATCCTCAATTACCACCAGTATAGACTGTCAGGCCAGACCTGATCCTCAATTACCACCAGTATAGACTGTAAGGCCAGGCCTGATCCTCAATTATCACCAGTATTGACTGTCAGGCCAGGCCTGATCCTCATTACCACCAGTATAGACTGTCAGGCCAGGCCTGATCCTCAATTACCACCAGTATAGACTGTCAGGCCAGGCCTGATCCTCAATAACCTCCAGTATAGACTGTCAGGCCAGACCTGATCCTCAATTACCGCCAGTATAGACTGTCAGGCCAGGCCTGATCCTCACTTACCGCCAGTATAGACTGTCAGGCCTGGCCTGATCCTCAATTATCACCAGTATAGACTGTCAGACCAGGCCTGATCCTCAATTACCACCAATATAGACTGTCAGGCCTGGCCTGATCCTCAATTATCACCAGTATAGACTGTCAGGCCAGCCTGATCCTCATTTACCACCAGTATAGACTTTCAGGCCAGACCTGATCCTCAATTACCACCAGTATAGACTGTCAGACCAGACCTGATCCTCACTTACCACCAGTATAGACTGTCAGACCAGGCCTGATCCTCAATTACCACAAGTATAGACTGTCAGGCCAGACCTGATCCTCAATTACCACCAGTATAGACTGTCAGGCCAGGCCTGATCCTCAATTACCACCAGTATAGACTGTCAGACCAGGCCTGATCCTCAATTACCACAAGTATAGACTGTCAGGCCAGACCTGATCCTCAATTACCACCAGTATAGACTGTCAGGCCAGGCCTGATCCTCAATTATCACCAGTATAGACTGTCAGACCAGGCCTGATCCTCAATTACCACAAGTATAGACTGTCAGGCCAGGCCTTATCCTCAATTACCACCAGTATAGACTGTCAGACCAGACCTGATCCTCACTTACCACCAGTATAGACTGTCAGACCAGACCTGATCCTCAATTACCACAAGTATAGACTGTCAGGCCAGGCCTTATCCTCAATTACCACCAGTATAGACTGTCAGACCAGGCCTGATCCTCAATTACAACCAGTATAGACTGTCAGACCAGACCTGATCCTCAATTACCACAAGTATAGACTGTCAGGCCAGACCTGATCCTCAATTACCACCAGTATAGACTGTCAGACCAGGCCTGATCCTCAATTACCACCAGTATAGACTGTCAGACCAGACCTGATCCTCAATTACCACAAGTATAGACTGTCAGGCCAGACCTGATCCTCAATTACCACCAGTATAGACTGTCAGGCCAGACCTGATCCTCAATTACCACCAGTATAGACTGTCAGACCAGACCTGATCCTCAATTACCACAAGTATAGACTGTCAGGCCAGGCCTTATCCTCAATTACCACCAGTATAGACTGTCAGACCAGGCCTGATCCTCAATTACCACCAGTATAGACTGTCAGGCCTGGCCTGATCCTCACTTACCACCAGTATAGACTGTCAGACCAGACCTGATCCTCACTTACCACCAGTATAGACTGTCAGGCCAGCTCCTGCACCTCAGTATAGTCTCATCTGATTCTATATAATGTTGGCTGACCAATTTTATATTTTCATCTTGATATCTTCAAAAATGATAATGGATAATTCTTAAAGAATGAATGATGGAGATTTATATAAGAAAAAAACAGGTTTAAAAAAAAATTTTTATGATGCACATTCTTTACAAATCAAAAACCTTGGAAAACCACAAACATATTTGATTCAGAAGTAAAAAAAACTGTAAAAAAGTTAAGACTAATTTCATCTTCACAATAATTTGTGAAATGCCTTAAAATGTTTAGATTTTATACTAAGATTATTGATTGTTACTGATAAAAGTTTTTGAAAACTATCAAAGATAATTATACTTATTGTTGGCTGACATGCTAATGAGGACAAGGTATTAATATATTTAATAATTTGTGACAATTAATTTAGGAATCAGTATTTTTAGAGATGTGCCCCTTTAAACTTTTGTATCAATGCCAATATCTTAAGTATTCACAATCACAATCATAACACTATTGAATTTTTATTTAGTTACTTATGCTTAAAACAGATTTATAAGCATTATTGTGGCGTTTTGTGCATTGAAGGCCGTTCTCTGGCACCTGCTTTAAAACTGGTTTTAGTCATTTTTGAGCTAAAAAGTAAACACTTCATAAAGGCAATTCTGTGAAAAACAAAATTTGACCTACATTTAAAGCAACATGACATACAATATATATCAAAATATGCCTGAAATAAGATGTTGATTGGCAAGATTTTCTTCACTTTGAAATAGTGTTTAAAGGTCATTGATTATGTACATTTTCTAGGTTAATGTACATTTCCTAGGTTTTTGTAACATTTCCTAGGTTATATACAGTATCCATGTTTATGTACATTATCCAGGTTTATAAATTGTATCCGTAAATATGAATAGTACCAAGTAATAAGTAATTTTATTGTTCAGTAGCTAAAACCATGGTCATTAAATACATATAAATAAGTTCCCAGCTTTTTAGCTCACCTGTCACAAAGTGACAGGGTGAGCTTTTGTGATCGCTTTTCGTCCGGCGTCCGTCCGCCGTCCGTCCGTAAACTTTTGCTTTAAATGACATCTCCTCATAAACCACTGAGCCAATTTCATCCAAACTTCACAGGAATGTTCCTTTGGTGGTCACCTTTAAAAATTGTTCAAAGAATTTAAGTTCATGCAGAACTCTGGTTGCCATGGCAACCGAAAGAAAAATCTTTAAATATCTTCTTTTAAACAACCCCGAGAGCTAGAGCTTAGATATTTGGCATGAAACATCTTCTAGTAAGTGTCTACCAAGTTTGTTCAAATAAAAGCCCTGGGGTCAAAATTGGCCCCGCCCCAGGGGGTCATTGATTTTCCCTATATGCATATAGTAAAAACTTAAAAAATCTTCTTTTAAAGAACCCAAAGAGCTAGAGCTAAGATATTTGGCATGAAACATCTTCTAGTGAGTGTCTACCAAGTTTGTTCAAATAAAAGCCCTGGGGTCAAAATTGGCCCCGCCCCGGGGGGTCATTGATTTTCCCTATATGCATATAGTAAAAACTTAAAAAATCTTCTTTTAAACAACCCCAAGAGCTAGAGCTTAGATATTAAGCATGAAACATCTTCTAGTGAATGTCTACCAAGTTTGTTCAAATAAAAGCCCTGGGGTCAAAATTGGCCCTGCCCCAGGGGGTCATTGATTTTCCCTATATGCATATAGTAAAAACTTAAAAAATCTTCTTTTAAAGAACCCAAAGAGCTAGAGCTAAGATATTAAGCATGAAACATCTTCTAGTGAGTGTCTACCAAGTTTGTTCAAATATAAGCCCTGTGGTCAAAATTGGCCCCACCCCGGGGGGGTCATTGATTTTCCCTATATGCATATAGTAAAAACTTAAAAAATCTTCTTTTAAAGAACCATAAGAGCTAGAGCTTAGATATTTGGCATGAAACATCTTCTAGTGAATGTCTACCAAGTTTGTTCAAATAAAAGCCCTGGGGTCAAAATTGACCCTGCCCCAGGGGGTCATAGATTTTCCCTATATGCAATTAGTAAAAACTTAAAAAAATCTTCTTTTAAAGAACCCAAAGAGCTAGAGCTAAGATATTTAGCATGAAACATCTTCTAATAAGTGTCTACCAAGTTTGTTCAAATAAAAGCCCTTGGGTCAAAATTGGCCCCGCCCCAGGGGGTCATTGATTTTCCCTATATGCATATAGTAAAAACTTAAAAAATCTTCTTTTAAAGAACTCAAAGAGCTAGAGCTAAGATATTTAGCATGAAACATGTTCTAATGGGTGTCTACCAAGTATGTTCAAATAAAAGCCTTGGGGTCAAAACTGGCCCCGCCCGGGTGGGGGGGGGGTCATTGATTTTCCTTATATGTGTATAGCAAAAACTTAAAAAATCTTCTTTGAAAAAAAACAAATAGCTAGAGTTTAGATATTAAGCATGAAACATCTTTAAGTAAATATCTACAAAGTTTGTTCAAATAAAAGCCCGGGGGTCAAAACTGGCCCTGCCCCAGGGGTGTCATTGTTTTTAACTATATGTGTATAGTAAAAACTTTAAAAATCTTCTTTTAAAAAACCCAATGAGCTAGAAATTAGATGTTTAGCATGAAACATCTTATTATGGGTGTCTACCATTTAGTCTGTTCAAATAAACAAATAAAAGCCCTTGGGTAAAAATTGGCCCGGGGGTGGGGGGCCTATATACAGGTGAGCGACCTCAGGGCCATCATGGCCCTCTTGTTATGCTAAATGCTCATAATGGCTTTAATGTATTATTATAAGTTTACACCTAGGTTTAAGTTCAGTACTTTTCATTTTAGTGATTCAGGGCAAGAAGCACCAGTGCAAAGGTATCATATGGACAACCCCTATAGCATTAGTGAAAAGGAAACAGAATGTTGACCTTTCCGATTTACTGTCCTTGACATTTGACCTTTTAATTTACAGGTAGCACTTTTAGTATCAGAGAACACATTCATATTCAAGTGCACAATTCATTGGTGATGGTTAAGTATATGGAGTGCTCATAGCAATGCTATAGCCCCTCACTGTCTTGCTAGAGATTTTGAATTCTTTCATGTGAGGTAGCTATCCTGCTAGCTTATAGAACATCATTGTTTATATTCAGGTGGCTGTTTGTACTTGAAATAATCCTAGGAGGGGCACTCGGAATTTGTCTTCTCCACCAGTAACTCTTGTTAGTCGCCATTATGACCTTTGTTGATTTGGTTAAGTTATCATAAATTATGGCAGGCCCGTCTTCTCAAACTTGTTCTTTAAGTTTACTCAGTAATGAAAGTTTTGCTGTCAACACTCCAATATACTTTTGTATTAGGAACTTTACTTTTTGAAAAGCAAGAATGCAACATTTATTCTTGTATGTCACTCTTTTTTGTCAGTACATTAAGACAAGACATATTTTTTAGTTAGAAACACAACATTTAATGAAAATTCAAAAAATTGTCTTAAGTGTACAAATCAGTTTTATATCCAATTAAATTGCCTATTAATTGTAACAAAATATACAAAACCAGAACATGTTATGAAAACTTATTATAAAGTTAGTTATCAATTATGAAATGAAAAAAAATCATCATTTGGGTTATGCATACACATTTCTTTAACTTCATAACAAACATTATATTTTGAACCTGGAAAACTCAAATTTTGTGTCAGTGCACACCTTGATTAAACATTATACGCCCGTTGTGCTGGGCGGGTGGCATCCGATTTTTGTCTGGAGCATATCTCCTACACCCATAAAGGAATTTTAATGTTTGTTTGTCATTTGTTGAAGAGGGAAATTATTTTGAATATGCTGTTTTTTTTCTTTTTTATTATTTATTTACCTTATTTCAGTTGAAATGCTAGTATAGTTGACCCTACCTGGTAAGAAACCCACTTTAGATTATCTGTTCTTTTTTAAAAATCCTTCCTTGTTTAAATATGTTTACAGTTAAAATATTGTTCAATACAAAAATCATAATTGGTAATTACAAATATCCAAAAGTTGTCAAAAAAGGCTTAATATTTTGTTTTAAGATACATTTTAATGTGAAAATTTAATATCTTCTCACCACAGAATCATAACTATTTCTTAAATAAACTGAATGGTAAAATGTTGTTAGTCACACAACAAGAAATTCAATATCTTTGAAAGATTTTCACATGGCAAGTTAGATGCAATTAAAATTGATGGATCTTGTTTCATTTTTTTTTTCATACCAGCTATAACATATTATACATTTCCTGTGATTAAACTCTGTAATCTATTCAGCTGAATTAATGAAATGGGCACTTACATTGTACTCATAGTCTGCTTCTAATTAGGAACTGCACATTAGTATAGTTTTGTAGCTATGGGGATTTGAATATCAAAATATTATGGGTGTTTTGTTGTATTTGAACACTATTTTAATTGATTTCTGTTTAGTTAATTGCTTAAATACACACAAATATATTCAGAAAGCCTTTGACATTGTTTAGTTGTCTCCCTTTACATTATATATATACGGTATATGTAGCAGTACAGCTTATATTGACTTTAAGGAACAGTAACTCTGTTAATAGCACATTTATTCCTTGGAAATAAACAAAATTTTCATATTGTAAAAAGGGTATAATTTTCTAATGATTGATTAAGAACATGTGAGTGGCTTATCACCTTAAGAAATAAACACTAAATGGGTACTTTATCAGAATGGTAGCAATGAATAAACAAAGTGTAATTTTGACTTCCAAACAAAATAATAAATTCATGAATGCTAAAACACTAAAAGCTAAGTTATGTGGCCAACCAGGAACTTTTTGGAAACTGTAACAGGACATCAAAAATAAGAAGCTATTAAAAAATTAAAATAGCATTGTTGAGGCTTATTAATGAGCCTTTAAAGACAGGCATTTTGAAAAGTGTATAAAGTCGCTTTATCTTAAGAGAAATTCATGTTCCAATTTAGAAAATGAACTTGTGAGATTATATAATAATTGTACCTAAATACTGTGAGTTTTAACGAGTAATTTTCATTCTTTTATCATAATATACCTACATTCATATCAAACATAAATAACTACACATAAATTATGTGATGTAACTGCATATTTTATCATAATATAAATAAATGGCCATACAATTGTAATCTGTTTTGTAAATTATAAAAACAATATTTTAATAACATGCATCTACTTTTCAACAAGGATATTGAATAAGCATATATATATATATACACTGATAATCATCAATTAATTTAAGTATGCTGTACTTTTATATACAATAGTTATCATTCTTTTATATATGGTAATGATAACTGAAACAATGGGTTGGTCATTTTCAATAGAGTACTATTAAACTATGTCCTGAAATGAAGTACTATTTAACTGTTAGATAAACAAGATCATATCTGTCATGTATACAATATGTTTGTCGTACACATGTATTCTATATTTATATGTTAGGTAACTATATAGATGGTAATGATAAATTACACATTTATTATATTACATTCTGAATAATATTTTTTTTTCATGTTTATCTCCCTTTACTTTCTTTTGACAAATATTTGAAATTTATAATCATGTGTTAAGTTACACCTGTGGTAAACCATTATTTGAATAATGTTATATGAGCAGTGTCACGACAAAACCAACATAGTGCGTTTTGCGACCAGCATGGATCCAGACCAGCCTGCGCATCCACGCAGTCTGATCAGGATCCATGCTGTTCGCTTACCAACCCTATAACATGTAGAGAAACTGATAGTGAACAGCATGGATCCTGATCAGACTGCGCGGATGCGCAAGCTGGTCTGGATCCATGCTGGTCGCAAACCCATTTTGTTGATTTTGTCATGACACAGCTCAATTATATATTTTCACATGTATCATCCTTTAACTTTCTGGGTAAATTATTTTGTTAACAATGTCATGAATTTTATTATTATCTCCCTTTAAATATTACTGAATGGGTTATTATTAAAAAAAGTAATAATAAGATGATTTTCATCTTGATATTTATTCATGGTTTTCTCCAATTATATTTTTACTGACTTCATTGTCAGACAGAGTTATCTACTTCTGTCATGATTATCCTCCTTTAATGTTTTTGGCTGAATAAATCTGACATGTGACTCAATAAAAGCATTGCTTAAAATATTATTTTGTTAGAAAAGAGCTTCCCATTGTTAATTTCGTATCATATTCATTATTTCCTTCTTTTTAAGTGTAATTGATAGTGAATAACGGGGAAATAAAATCATTTTTCACCACACATTAATAATAACCCAAAACAAAGAAATAAACATAGAAACAAATTATTGTTGCAAACAAAGAAACAGGACAATAACAAACATTAAAACAGAAACAAATTGTTAATAAACAAATAGAATCAACAGAAGCTTTTTAAATCCTTTCTGTCTTCGAAAATATCTGAGATATGTGTCTGTCAATATCTGAGGTATATGTGAAACATAGATGTGATTGAAGAACCAGCAAATATTTTAGTTAGACAGGACCAGCTAATGATTGGTGACTAGATATTCTCATGGCAGCATAGAAATAGCAAATGTTTGCTTGTATTATGTAGCATCATAGCATGTGTAGCCTATTTACTAGCAAAATAGTTCAAAGTTGCTTGAGTGTATGTTAATGTTTATTTATTTGTATTCCTTTTGAATTTTCTCTTTATTTTTGCATTCTTTGCATGTCATAAACCAGGATATATGTATTAAGTCTGATCTGTTTACCAACATAAGATATGACACTGTTCATTAATTTTCATTGACTGTTTCATGCACTGAGATAATCCTCTGTTGTGCAGTTGTTGAACCCTCCAAAATTTTGAAATTACATGATTGTAGTTTCAAATAAATCTGGTCCCCAAATAAATGGAAGTTTTGGTGATTCATCAGAATCAGGACTCCACGTAAGTGTTTCTCAACATAGGATATATGCCAAAAATTTAACACAAGGTGTTAGTCTTGTCACTTTGAAGAAAACAAATAAAATGGGAAATTCTTAAAAAGTTAACAAATTAGGGGCGTCTGTAGCCAGTTGATTAAAACTGTTGACTTCAAATAACTTGCACCTCACAGCTGTGGGTTCGAATCCCACCAGGGACTTTGGAATCTTTCTTGTGAGGAAGCTATCAAGCTTGAGCCTTCAGAATGTTGTTAGTTCCACCTGAGATCATTGTCCACCAGTCTGATGCACCATATAACCTCTCCTGTGTTGGTGCAACGTAAAACCCAACAAAAAATATAAATAAAAATTTACAGTTTCATGTTGAGAAACATTTACTTCGAGCCCTGATTCTGTCTACAATTTCTGAAAACAATGTTGAATTTTTATCCAAAAAAATTAAGTCAATGCAAAAATATTTTTTTAAAAAAACCCTGTTAACAATGCGTTATTTTCAGGTCCTTTAGTATTCTTTTTTGTTTGTTTTGTAGAATTTTTGTTAAAATGTACATATTAAAGAAATATACTTAAAGATTTAACTCATTGTCGATTTTTTGAGAAAATTGTAAGATCCTACAAACATTGACATGTGCTCATGTGTGCACTTTTGTAAAGAAATTATGTTATGATGAAAATTGTATCCACTTATCTGATAATAAGAATTAGACAGGTCATTATTTTGCCAAAATATCTCAATAACTCATTATTTGACTTTTTACACATACTTTTTATTGCATGATTTATGAAAATGATTTTGTCTTCTATTCTAATGTAGATGTGATATAGATCGCATGCCCTTAGCTTATCTTAAGCTAGCTTGACATTTGTTATTCTTATTGGTGTATATATCCAGCCATTTGCTTAATTTTGATGGTGTTCAGTTAATTATGATATATTTCAAAATATTTTGTGATAACCATTTCTGTTTCTTCTTTTGAATTTGTATTCATGTTAACAAGTGGTTTTATTTATAGAAATAAAAAATGTCTCAATATCTAATTGAAAACATATAATGGTCATTATTACATTTACTTTCTTTTATTACAAAAATAATCAAATTATAACATTTAAATTTAATTGATATGTATTATATTTATTTTATTTTTCAGTCACCGTGACGACAATCTCAGTTCTCTTATTCCAAGACGTCATTCTGACATCACACACTCTTCTCGTGCTGCGCAACCGACGAGAAAAATTTCATTGGAGGACCCTGATAGTCCAGTGCTTGTTATACGATCAAATATGAAGTCAAGTAAAGTCAAAACTGCCGTTAAACGGTCCGAAAAAGCAAATGATGATTTGTTTGAATTATGATTTTATATATTACAACATTTTTATCTATATATAGAATGCTGATTACATTGTGATTACATTTGGATGATTTTTTTACAGAAAAGAAGGGTAAAGTGAATTTCTAATACATAACTATAATGATACAAAAAAACACCTGCTGTCTAATTGATGAAAACAGCTTTAATGAATTATGATTGTCATTTTTCTAATGGACAATTTAAAGAAAAAAAGACAAAGGAACCACCTAAACTCTTTTAAATGAAATACATGTAATAATAGTTCTGATCAATTCTAGTTGGTATACATTTATACTAGCAAAAATACTTTATGAAACAGGGTATGTATTTAAATTGATCTTAAGCTTATATATTTTAAGCTAATTAGGAAAGTGAAAGGAAAAAAGTTAAATTATTGACCATGTTTTAAGCTTTCTGCAGAAAGTGCAAAGATGAGCTGTTGTGATCTCCTAGAGTCCGTTATCTGACTGGTTCTCTACAGAATATTTATATATCATGACCTGTGAAGTTATCAAAATGACCCCCCCACACCCTCCTAAAAAAAACAACAACAAAAATAATGACCATGTATAAATCTAGAAATGATAATAATAATATTAACTTCACTGAGGTCCAAGAGCTTAAAATAAAATATTTGAATTACTTACATAGATCAACTGGGGCACTCAAAACAGAAACATATGCAAAAGATAATACAGAAATATGCTCACAATTTATTTGGCCTTTTTTAACACTTGAGTTTTAATTTTTTTTAACAATTATGAAGATATTATTTTGCAAGAACGAGGTGAGCGAATAGGTATTATATTTGTACAAGTTACTGATACAGAACTATATCAAATGATATATTAATTTTGAAAAAAAACATTTCTAGTCCTGTCATGTAAAAAAACAAAACTAACAGAAATCCTGCATTGTGGAGTGGTTGTCTGAATCAAGGGATGTGAAGGAACGTCTTCCGAAGGAAATGTCTAACATTGATTATAGATAGTTGAATACTGTCAGTGTTTATTTTATAATATAAACCAGTGTTATTATGCTGATGTCATATTGCTGTGATTATTTTGTTTTGGACAATGCACTACTATTTATAAACTTTTTACCTTATATTTTTATCATCTACATGTATATTCAGTTTGATAATTTTACATTTTTAACTCACCTTAGAAAAACTTGATCATAGGCGAGCTATTGAGATCACCAAATATCCTGTTGTCATTTTGAATTTAGAGTGGCAGCATTTTCTTTCTAACTTAAACCTGTAAGGCCTATCTAATTTGTTTTTCCTCCCAGAAATTTGTTGCCTATATTTAAGTAATAAACTAGGTCAAATTAAATGAAAAATTGTACACATACCTAGACTTTTTTTAATAAAACTTTTATCAGAATGCTTATTTGATAAGTAACTTATCAAGTTGAAAAAATATATGTCTAGGGTCACTTTGTTAAATCTGGAAAATGATTAACCAACATTTTTAAATTACCTCCCTTACTAACACATTAGTCAGCTTTGGAGTAATCTTCTTGAGCGATGCTGAGTGGCCTCCTTGTTTTGAATGAATATTGCCTTGTTAATTTGATGACTGTCAAGGTTTAACAATACCAGAGCTAAAGGAGTGTCATCACTATAAACAGATGTCAGGGTTGAACTAATGTCAAGATTATAATCTGATTTACCATTGTATAGAATATACATCATTTATTGTAGAATGTTTGTTTATTTGTTCTATGAACAAATAAATATCTTGTGTTACATGTTTTTAGCGTCTCTGAACATATGATTATGTAAATATTAATATATCTCAGTTTTTCTATGTCTGCTGTTGAGACTCATCATAACTAATGTAAAATTTGCACGATTATCAGTAAGGCTATTAGTAGCAATAACTTGTATATTAATCATTTTGATAGTTTTTATAATTACTTTATTGGTTAATGCTGGTGATATATTCTCATTTGCTGACTTACCACTAGGGTTTGATACCCAGGAATGAATAATTAAGGACTGTTGGTGCTTCTTCCAAATGTTTTGCTTGCAGGTTTGAAGTAATGCCAAGGGTGGCTCCATGACTGATTAGTCAAGGTCACTGACTTCATATCACTCACTACTCAACGCTGATAGTTCAAGTCCCATCAGGGACTTTGGATTCTTTCATGTTAGTAAGCTATCTGACACTGAAGGTCAGTGGTTCTACTGAGGTACTCAACTTTACGGGAAATAATGTACAAGATATTGCTGCACCAGTAAAACTGGAAAGTCGTCATATGTCGCCTCTAGATTATAGTCCCAACAAAAATAAATGATGTGGTAGGAGTGTCAGAACACATACAATATATTAAATAGATTAATTATACCGGTAAATATAATTTGTTACACTCAATACAATGTTTTCTGTAGACTCATTTGCTAAGATACAATTCTACAACAGCCGTTAATAATAGATTGAATTGATAACGCTTTGTCAGCATTAACTTGTCATTGCCAAATGCTTCGTTTATTCCTGATATTGTATATAAAATTGTATATAAATTTTGTAAGAAGTTAAATACACACATTCATCTTTCATGATTTTATATAGACATTAATATTACAGTAACATTACATTTGTATACACTATGATCCAAGTAAGTGTTGTATATCATAAATAATTCACTACTGAATATATGCATGAAATTATTTGATTTTGTTACATTAATTTTTAAGATAAATCTCTAACAAGGACGGACAGCGCAATATTTTCCATTGTATTTAAGTATACTATACCCTTTAAAACATACGGTGAATCATTTCTATAAGATGTAATAATACTTTTTTATTAGGGTATGAAGATTCTTTTTAAAGGTTATCTTTGTGGTCTCCTTGTCTATTTTAGCTCTACTATTCGAAGAATATGGAGAGCTATTGCGATGGCATCCATGTTGGCATCTACGTTGGTTAAAATATTTTGTAAAGTCAAATATCTCAATTATTGCTTCAGATATTCAATTGAAATTTACAATACTTTTTTATAGTAACAATGTACATCAGTTTGAAAAGTTGCATAACTCTGCCTGCAATGTTGCAGAATAATGCCCCTTTTGAAACTTAGAAAGTTTGGTTAAAGGTTTAAGGTCTTAAGAACTATCAAAGATATTTTCTTGAAACTTTACACATGTACTGATGGTCATAGTTGAAGGTCACATCTCAAGATCCATTACTCTGCCATGTATTTTGACATATTTATTATGCTCCTTTTGTACTAAGTTTTACATATCTCAATAACTATCAGAGATTTTAATTTGAAACTTAACATAATTTGCATGAAGGGTTATAAATGTATGTCACTGACCAAGTGCCATAATTCTATCTTTCATTTAGGCTGATTTATCTCCCTTTTTCTACTTAGTCTCTTGGTTAATGTTTACATGCAAGTTTTACATATCTCAATAATATCAAAGATATTTATTTAAAACTTCACATATGCATTTATGGTCATTATTGCAGGTCACTGACCAAGTTCCATAACTCTATCTTGCATTTAGGCTGATTTATCTCCCCTTTTCTACTTTGTCTCTTGGTTAATGTGCTTTTGCTATCATAATTATTCACATCTTTATTAAGACTGACACCTTTACTCATTGCAGGTTGACCGAAAGTGTACTTTGTTCAAAAGTGTTTTTGCTTTGTTCAAATGTTTATTTGCTTTTATGATATTCAGATTCTTATTTGTAACTTAAGCATTTTACGGCATCTTCCATTTTGTATATTCATGAATACTAATAAAAAGTACCAGTTGTTTCATATATAACTGCATTTTTTTTAATAAATATTTCAATTTTCACTTGCAGTACTTCAAACTTCTTTTCAAAAGCCATTTTCATAATAATATTCAGATAGATATAAAATGCATTTCCATAAACCAGCCATGCGCACAGGTAAGAGTGCTGGTCTGTCAAAAGGTAGACCTGTATACAATCCCTGTCCTTTCCATTAGTCCAATGCCATTATTTTGATAACTGTTCTTATTGTCGAGCATGCTGTCATAGGATAGCTCTGATTTGCTTATTTCCAATTTTATGCCCCTTTTTGCTTGACTATTCATTAAGAATCAGTAGAGCTATTGTAGGCACCCGAGCGTGGGCATCGGTGTCGGCGTCAGCGGAACCACTTATGTTAAAGTTTTTGTAATACAAAATGTACCTCAAATATTTTCAAAGTCCATGGACATATGGCTTTGAAACTTTGCATACTTGTTCACCATCATGACCCCAACCTGTAGACAGGAGTAGGTAACTGTATCAAGCATTTTGACAGAATTATGCCCCTTTTTCAACTTAGAATTTACGTTAAAGTTTTTGCAATACCTCAAATATTTTCAAAGTCCATTGACATATGGCTTTGAAACTTTGCGTAGTTGTTCACCATCATGACCCCAACCTGTAGTCAGGAGGAGGTAACTGTATTAAGCATTTTGACAGAATTATGTCCCTTTTTGACTTAGAGTTTATGTTAAAGTTTTTGTAATACCTCAGATATTTTCAAAGTCCATTTACATTATGGCTTTGAAACTTTGCACACTTGTTCACCATCATGACCTCAACCTGTAGTCAGAAGGAGGTAACTCTATGAAGCATTACAATTTACATTAGAATTTACATTTAAATTTGCATACCACCTCAGATATTTTCATATTCTATTGACACATGGCTTTAAAGCAAGTTGAAATTTTATGCTTCTCTTTGAGAGTATAAAAGGACTCTCTTCAAGGTCTAAAACTGTAACATGGATTTAAAGGCAAATTTTGCCTTTTTGTTAACTTAGAAAATTTTACATTATCAAGGCTTTTTTTACTATCAAGCACTAAGAATAGTCGAACGTTGCTGTCCTACAGACAGCTCAATGAAACTCATGGTTAACTTTTTGCTTGTAAGCTGGTATCTCCCTAACTACTGAAGGGTTAACTTTTTGCTTGTAAGCTGGTATCTCCCTAACTACTGAAGGTAATGGAATGAAACTTAACATACATTTTCACTGTGATTTTTTAACATGATTGGCACAGGTCCCATAACTCTGATTTACTTATTTACATATTTATGCCCCTTTTTATACTCAATGAAACATCCTTGTACTACTCTATCGAATAGTCAAGCATAATGCTGTCTTCTGTCAGCTCTTGTTTAAGAAAAAACTGTTAGGTTTTGCTGTATTTAAAACAGTTAAATGATATAATATAATTTCATAGTATAATCATTATCTTACAACTTTTGTAATTATGTTGAATGTTAATTATAGGTATTTTCTGTAACAGGGTCACACGGCAAAAGTTTTCTGTTAGAATACAAAAAAATGATCTAATTGTATTTATATGTTGAATGTTGAAGATATTTATAGAATGTTGAATATATTGAGTCTAGTGTAGTGTTGTCATTGGTAGATGGAATGAATTGTGATCTGTGCAATAATGTATAAAACAGTTTGATCATATCAAAGAATAAAATTGCTAGTTTAGTCATTGTGTTCTTCATTGTTTATACCACACTTGGTATGTTGTCTGAAATTTGCCATGCCATCATGCTGTTTTACTTCTACATGAATACATCACACTTGCAACTCAAACACACCCACACGGCACATGGTTGTCAGAAATTATAATTATTACCAGAACAGCAGGACACTTAAAGATAGGTGTATGAAAAAAAAAGAAGATTTTTTGCAGTTATATAAGGGGGTGTACAGGTATGATATGTATTGATTTACCAGCAGTACATGCATGAACTAGTAATCTGCCTGTCATATCTCCACTTAATATATATCAGGATAGTTATCATACTGTGATTGGGTTGGGATATTTACGTCTGCTTGTACTTGCCTCATATCTTTACTTGAGAGGGAATAAGCCTTGATTTATGCAACATCCCATGGCTAGTAGATGAACCCTATTGGATTTTAGGTCGAAGGTCAATTTGACTTTGACATTGTCCACTAAAATTAATTGTCCAACCAGTAACTAGAGAAAATTTTGACCTACAATCCTAAACTTAGGTCTGAAGTTTGGATAATCCTTATTGATTTGAAGGTCAAAGATCTAAATTACCTTGGCCATCACCAGAAGAAGCTTGTCTGACAAAAATTAAGGCAATGCTTTGGCCTATAGTCCTGAGATTCTGTTTGAAGATTTGTTATGACTACAAGATGACTTCTGTTGATGGCAGTGGGTTAAAAGTCAAGGTCACAGTGGCATCGACAACTTAAAGCTTGTATATAAATGACAAGAGACTGATTCTGTCTACACCCGTAAGATTTGGTGCTGTTTGGTTATGATTATTGATTTTAGGTCACTAGGTCAAGGTCACAGCAACGCACGAAATACTTTAAGTTTTCAAATCAAAAACAAGAGTTGCATCAGCGATAGGTTTTGTGTTATAATACTTTTATAATATATCATTCGCTAATATAACACTTGACTTTTATAAAATATACATTTAAAGTATCTACCAAATGAGGCGGAGGGATCCTGTGGTCACATTTCTAACTTTCGTTCTAGTTTTGTTACACTGCTGCAAATAGAAATTTTATAAAAAGCCGCTAGAAGAATAATAGTTCTAGGGAAAACTTGACATTAAATACTCGCGGTCATTTACATAATCTATCGTGACATGACAAAACTGTACACATAAGAAGCTGTATTAATAGACTACTAGCAAAATCCGGTCAGGAAGTCCACACTTTCTGGTTATTTTTTATTTAATTTCAGTTTTTAATGGAATTTAAATATCTTAACAATTTAATTTTTTTGCGCACTACTACTGTCAAATACAGTCCCGATGGAGACAGCTGGGAGGAATTCCCAAAGTTTGCGTTCGATCACAAAACTTAGTGAAACCCTTATACTTTGACATTGACTCTAGGGGGACCAGAAGCAATACAAAGTGGTGTCTCTACATAATGCACATAGTTTGATTTCATTTAATCAGTCTGAACTGTACTTAGTTATCGACTCCATCCAGTTAAACAACTTGAATGATTTAGTTACGATCTATATAATTTCTTTTTAGTTTATCTTTTAATACTGTAATAACTTATTTATATTAGATCTAGAACAGCTCAAATTTACCAAAAGACGTTTCCATTTTGGTAAATTTCAGAAAAAAGTTAGAATCTACATCATTCAGACTGGATAAAATAAATAAAAGAAAATAAATATGTTACATAATAATTTATATGATATGTTATTTTATTTTTAAAAAAAGTATGAAGTTATGGTCTTTTAGTATTTTACTGAAAATATTCATAATTGCTACATCGTATCGAACGTAATGTAATGTTTTGGCTAGAAAATTATGGTAAAGGTAGGCTATTTATTCGTGCGTATGTTGACACAGATGGTTTTAGGGGAACGGCAGGTTGCCTAGGTAGCGACAGAGTAAACGCTATGGTCTAGCAATTCGATGGTCACCAGCCCATTGAATATCAATATTGTACGGAATGTTACCATGTGATTGCTATACATGCTGTTTATCTATATCCAATGTCTTCACATAATTCGTGCGTCTCACAGGCGTTAAGTAGAACGTGCTTAGGAGATAAACTACCATTTTCAGTCACATTTAGCGTTTGACAAAATGGTTTGAATATGGAACAAACATGTTATTCAAAATTGCACAATATGACACATAAAATAAGCAATCATATTGGACTCGCCTTGTAACCCATTAATTGGCTCATCAATACGGTTTCTCAGCTGTTAACCCGTCTAGATATAATATCGTATTTTTTCAATACAATGTCAAATATCCTAACATCTTACAAAATATCGTTTAAAAGTTACTAATTACAAAAATAAATAATTAAAGAATGAAGTTCAAATTATAATCAGTTTCCGGTGTAAATTCGAAGTATGCTTCCTATTATATCTATGCAGTGATGATTGACATTTTTTACGATTACATACATTTATGACGATTTATATAGAATTGGACCGCCACTGATTATTTTGTAAAAACCGTTGTATTATATGTCTGTATATATGTACTCACAGGCATTTGCCTTTTGTTCAATAAAATTACTCATATACACATTTAAATATAATTATAATACTGCTTGTTTATAACGTCAATCTTCATTGGATAATCGTCATGCTGTTTAACTATCTGTAAATATTCGTTTACAGAAAACATTGTTCATTATTATGAAATCGTTACAAAGATTTTAATTACAAACGACCCTTAAAATTTAAACCTTTGCCTTGCTCAGGTTATATGAACATTCAACTGTATATTATTGTCAAAAATAAATCTAGGACATAAACAAGTTTAATTTTAAGAGATTATCTCTATAACCGGTCATCTCCATGTCAGACTGAAGCGACAAAGTTTTATCTATTTTGTAAATCTGCAAATAAGAAGCTGTGAATGAAGATGAACATATTGATAACAAAACAGATCCTGTAAAGAAACTAAAACGTTCTTACATGTAAGTAAACCTGAAAACTTTACAAGTGACAATCTCAGTCCTGTAATGATCATTCAATAAGGATGGGATTTAAAACTTGTCTCGCTGCATTTCTATGCGCCTTAGTTCTGTCAAATTATACAGAGTCGATGGAGCCGGTAGATAGAGAATGCCCAAGGTTTGCGTTCGAACACAAACTTCTTGAAAGCCTTGTACGTGTCGAACATGCAGTTACGACATTGGGAAGTAAATTCAACAACCTTGAAGAACGCATGGACAGATTGGAAAGTGGACGTAAGTACAATTATATTTTTGCTAATAATAAGACAGTGATGTTATATTTTTCTGGTCTTTCCCAATACTTCCAAACACCGGTGCTAGTGTACATTGGAGATATTGCATATACATTTCTTCATGAAACCGAGCGTGCGATATTCCATACATTTTCTTCTGCTTTCACGGCTCTAAATTGATTTCCCTTTCAATAATGGTTAAGTCACATCAGCACTATAAATTTTCCTAAAGATATTAGCACTTCATCTCCATTCTTCATTGTTTCATTATTTGTACGTGTTAATCTTATGTTTCAGATAACTGTGACAAAAAAGCTATTGCCTTCACGGCCGTTTTAGATCACAAAATAACGTTCAGTTCTCGGGATATTCTCAAATTCAACTCTGTATTGAACAACGCAGGAAATGGATACGATCCAGAAAGTGGACTGTTTACAGCGCCTTTATCAGGAACGTACATGTTTTCCTTCCAACACTTTAGAACACTGGGATACTAAACAAATAATGGCCCATCTTATGCTGGAAAACGTTCGCAAAAGTACTGCAGTTATTAATCCTGGAGGAAGAAGCGCTCAGAGTACTGGGGTTGCTGTTATACTGGTACTACGTGGGCAATCTGTTTGGATACAAGTATCAGACGGTCAGTTGTATGGAAGTGACACGTGTTACGCGACTGCCTTCAGTGGGGCCTTTCTTTATTAAAGAAAAGACTGCTTAGTTAGACTTTGTCGTAAAATTTCTAGGATTTGGACCATTAATTTAGACTTCTGCTTTTAAACACGGCTTAATTCTTTTAAAACAGTACATCTTAAAAATTGATTTTATGTTACGTTTATTAACTATTTCGAATTCAAGATAAAGTTTTAGCTTTATAATAAGCTCAACTCCGAGAGTAATGTTTTTCGAACGTTGATTCATTTTAAAGGCATATGCTAGGGTTACACATAGATAATAGTGTATTGGAAACTAACTTTGCATGATCTTAGAATATGACAACAGATTTCCGTGTAACAGTCTGGATATAAGTTATTCTTTACTTTCAGCGCAATATAAATTTGATGAATAAAATTCTAGTTGATACATACTCAAACACATAAGAAACCGTGCGTGCTTCGTTTTTTTTTATTAAACTTTTGGTATAATTGTCATAATCGTATGATGCACAGATGTTATACTTGGTACATCCGGTCACTTTTTTGCCAAAAGGTTAGGTAACGCCTAAATAGAAACGCTTTATCCCTGCATCGTTTAGATAAATGGTAATAAAATGGCTCAATAAAATGTGTTAAGTAACAAGAGAAGAAAACACGAACCATTTGGATTGATTCTAAAGCTAGCAATGCGGCGCCTTTTTAAATGTCGAAGTATAGAAACATCGTCGATTGTTTTCGCGCGGGAATTTAATTGCCCGTAATCTTCATTCAAAGAATAGGCAGACTGTGATAATGTTTGGTTCTCTTCGAATTGGCAAGACTCGCCGTAAGACGTAGTTCCTAAACCGTTATTGATTCAGCGAGACATTTCAGTGTAAGACGGGACAACGTTATGGGGCATACTCTATATTTATAATAAAATCAAACCACAAGTGAAATCCATTAAGACTATCTGCATATTTTTATGTTGGTACCTTGATCTTGAGTAACGCAATGTAATGTTGGTAAGGTACGGCTTGTTTGGAGTCTAGAGTAATGGAATGTTATGTTGGTAAGATAAATGGAATGTAATGTTGGTAAGATATGTGATCTAGAGTAATTGAATGTTGTGTTTGTAAGGTACGTGATCTAGAGTAACGGAATGTTATGTTGGTAAGGTACGGCTTGTTTGGAGTCTAGAGTAATGGAATGTTATGTTGGTAAGATAAATGGAATGTAATGTTGGTAAGATATGTGATCAAGCGAAATGGAATGTTATGTTGGTAAGATACGTGATCTAGAGTAATTGAATGTTGTGTTTGTAAGGTACGTGATCTAGAGTAACGGAATGTTATGTTGGTAACATACGTGATCTAGAGTAACAGGATGTTATGTTGGTAAGATACGTGATCTAGAGTAACGGAAGTCATGTTGGTAAAATACGTGATCTAGAGTAACAGGATGTTATGTTGGTAAGATACGTGATCTAGAGTAACAGGATGTTATGTTGGTAAGATACGTGATCTAGAGTAACAGGATGTTATGTTGGTAAGATACGTGATCTAGAGTAACAGGATGTTATGTTGGTAAGATACGTGATCTAGAGTAACAGGATGTTATGTTGGTAAGATACGTGATCTAGAGTAACAGGATTTTATGTTGGTAAGATACGTGATCTAGAGTAACGGAAGTCATGTTGGTAAAATACGTGATCTAGAGTAACATGATGTTATGCTAGTAAGATACGTGATCTAGAGCAACGGGATGTTATGTTGGTAAGATACCTGATCTAGAGTAACAGGATGTTATGTTGGTAAGATACGTGGTCTAGAGTAACAGGATGTGATCTAGAGTAACAGGAAGTTATGTTGGTAAGATAAGTGATATAGAGTAACGGAATGTTTTATTGGTAAGATATGTGATCTAGAGTAACGGAGTACGCTTCAACGGATAGATAATTTCGTAGTATGTTAGTGACAAATACGATATCATTTAAGGAAGTGCATGACTATTTTTGACTTTGGATCCGATCTTAAATTATTAAAGGCTTTGCCGGTTTTGCAAATTTTACGTATTCACCCGCCTTTCATGAATTTATTGTCCATTTTCTGAAAGGAAGTATATTGAAACTCCTTGTTTACTTAAAACGGATAGGTGTGTAATAAAAGGAAAATAGGTTTGTAGCAGCTTTATCAAGCCATGTATTTTGCTACTCCCATTGTTGGAAAATTATTTTCCGCTCGACCTTTGGTCTCGCGAGATATCAATTTTCAAATGCTGCTCGTAGCAAAATACAAAGCCTCAGAAAGCCACTACAACATAATATTCCGTATTTATTATAATAATGATAATAATAATAATAATAATTATAATAATAATAATTATAATGATTATGGTATGATGATGATGATGATAATGATGATGATGATGATGATGATGATGATGATGATGATGATGAAGTAATGGTTGATTGAAAAGGGGAACTTGCAAAACAAGAGACATTTGGAACATTACATTAAAACAACAAACAATTAATCAGAAGGTCAAAAAATTAATCAGGAATATGGCATGTTAAGCGTTGCAATATTCAATAAATCAAATTTTTTATTCTATATCCAATATTTATTTTGTATAACTCTTATTCTATATTCTATACCATAATATTTATTCAATCCTGCTGAATATTTGTTCATCATAAAAAATATTTGAGTGCGATAATTTTCTATATGTATGTTCTATATTTGAAAATATATATTGTATAATTAAAATATTTATTGTATAGATCTACTGAAAAATATTTATTCGATAATTTAGATCATGGGATAGAACACTTTAGCATACTAAGCCCCGCCTATAAAGTAAGCAAGAATGTCTGATAAAGCGTTATCATCCTGATTAATTACCCCATATAATATAACAATAGTCCATAATGGGCAATATATATGCGTTGTAAAACAATAATTTCATATCAAAGTGCAAAAAATACGATATTTTTTTCAGTAAGGCAATTTTTCCGTTAAGGTTTTTACAAACAGTGTCAATTTGCAAGAGCCATTTTAAGTTGTTATTTATGCAAGTACCCAGGACTTTTTGATCAGTTACATTTTCAAGAGCTATTTCATTTATCTTAAGATACAATTTTCTCATAATATTTACTTTTTTGTCTTGTTCCTATTACCATACATTTTGATTTATCTGGATTTAAGGCCATATTATTTATTTTGCACCATTTGTCAATGTTATTTAAATGATCTTGAAGATTTATTTCTTCTTTTGATATATTTTCTCCGGACTCATAAAGAGTAGAATCGTCTCCGTATAAATCAATTTTTATATCAGTACCAATGAAAGCTATATCATTTATGTATATTAGAAAATAATAAAGGTCCTAATATTGAGCCTTGTGGAACACTGGACATTATTTTCATTGTCTGGGATTGAAGATTGCCTTTCTTAACCATTTGTATTCTGTAAGAAAGATATGACTTAAAAAACTTAACGGCATTTTAAGAAAAATGATAAAGTTTAAGTTTATACAAAAGTATTTCCTGGTCAGCCAAATCAAAGGCTTTCTTTTAGTCTAAGAATACAGCCCCGATAATTTTTCCACTGTCAACATCTTTTAACCAAGTATCTATTAAACTAATGAGTGCAGTATTACATGAATGATTTTTGCGAAACCCTGATTGTTTATTATGAATTATGTTCGTTTTTTCAAAGAATGAGTTATTTGTTTGGCAATATGGCTCTCAAATATTTTGGATATAGTTGACAAAATTGATATCGGTCGATAGTTATTTGCTTCATTCGTATCCCCTGATTTATAAATAGGTATAACTTTAGGTCTTTTTAAATCATCTGGGAAAATATTAGCTTTAATACTATTATTGATAATTGATGCAATTATTGGTGTAATATAATCTCCACAGTATTTGATGAGGTTTGGTCCAATTCCATCTAATCCTGTAGTTTTTTTAATATTCAGTTTTTCAATAATAAGTTTTACTTCAAACGAAGTAATTAATTCAATATTAAATTCATGATATATTAGCTGTTGGTCTAAAGTTTCTTTCAAGTTTGAAAACATAATTGTATTTGAAATCTTTGTTTTATGTATGACATTCGAGATATTGACAAAAAACTTCAAATACTTGTTTAATTCATTTAAAATATTAACATTTCCGTACATTTCTTTATTACCTGTCACTATAGTCTTTCTGGCATTGTAATACAACCTTTGTTTTTAGATTTGAAACGTCCTATACATTTTTCCATACATTGCCGGGTCTTTGTTATTTTAATAGCATTCTTAAAGAAATCTCTTTTACATTTTTAATCATTGATGATATTTTATTTCTGAGCAATTTGTATTGTTCATGTTTCCCTACTTTATGATAGTAATCGCGAGCATGTATTAGATATTTTATCTCATCAGTAAACCATTCCGGTCGGTGTTCACGTTTGATACGTTTTTCTTTTATTGGTGCATGCGTTTTTAATATAGTATTTAAAATGGAGTAAAATAAGAGATTCATTCGGATTAATAATGTGTTCGACTAATTCAAGATCGGATTAAGCAAGGTCTACCTGAAAATTAATTTCAGCGAAGTTTTTAAAACATCTATATTTAACTGAATTATGTTCATTAATCAATCGGGTACATGCTTTCGTTGATCTTGAAATACATATCGGATAATGATCACTTAATGAGGTATCAGAAACAAACGATTCAATAATATATCTGCTACTGTTTGTATAAACATGATCTATAACATTTTGGGTACGTTTTGTTATCCTAGTAGGATCTGTGATAAGTTGCTTCAAACCATATTTCGTTATCAAATCACCCCATTTTGTATTGTCATTTTTTTTTCTTTTTATCCACTGGATAAAAGTTTATATTGACATCTCCTAGAATATGATATTCTGTATTTGATACATGTATATCTATTATACTTAGTTGTTTCTCATAATCGTCAATCCAAGATTGGTGTAAATTTGGTGGGCGATATAAAAAATTTTTAAAGAAAAGGTTTTCAATTTGAGATCTTTCAATTTGGGTAAATAATTTTCAACCAAACAGATTTCTAATTCGTCCGTTTCTATATCGTAACGGCGCCATATGGCACCTTGTCAGCATATATATTACAATTCCTCCGCCTTTGTGACAACTTTTACGGTCCTTTCTTTCGTGTGTGAAATTGTCTTATATTTAATTCATGGTCTGTTGTATCATCACCAAGAAATGTCTCAGTAAAAGCCGAAAATATCTGGCGAATTTAAATTTGTTTAATAGATTTGTATTTTATTTCGTCTATTTAGGCATTAAGTGATTTAACGTTAAGGGGTGCAATATGTAAACCTGCGTTTTTTTCAAACTTAGAATTGAACAATTTATTATCTGGAAAAACTTAATTTATGGAGCGTAACATATATTGAGTACTTTGCATAATATTCATCAGATCGTATTTATTGTACTGATTGATTCAAAAGGAAACAATGGATTTATCAGATGCATTAGGTGTTATTACTTTCCGTTCTTTTACTATTCAAACGATCATTTTTTCGACGTATTTAAACGATGTGTAAAATATCACATTGTGAATAACATAAATCGTAAATCACACTTAATAAACAAAGAAATAAAAAGAGTGTACATGCTCTCTATCAGTATACAAAGTTTCTTTCAACATTGATTTTGTAGAACATATCGAAACCGACTTTTTCTTTTAACAGAATTAATTGAAAAGTTCTTGTGTGTGACTGAGATTATTACTATATAGTTATTTCTTATTTGAGATAGACCAGATATGTTAATGTAATATATATAAGAGAAAATCAAAGTCAAATTATCTACATTTGTAAAAAATTTTGTTTTACTCTCACATACCTCCTTAGAATACAAATGTTACTGTTATTTGATGAAATCTCATTTTTGGATTCTTTTTCTAACAAAGTAGTCTTATTACGTTCACTTACATTGTTTATGTATTCATTGTTAAATTTATTCAACGTTTGGAATTTGTCTTTGCTATAATAATTTTTTAGAGTGTCTGTCCCGCATTATCCTAGTTCAGATACCAACAGTCTTTAGACTTGTGATTTATTCTTCCGCAGATAAAACACTGATCAAAACAT